CAGAGTAGAGCTTTTAGCTTCCAGTGCCCAGTAACATCGTGGTACAGCAGCACGCCTTCGCAGGGGCAGTCTGGTCTGGGCATCATTCTTGGCAGCACAGCCTCCGAAGCTGACACGGTGGCTCTTCCAGGGGAGCTGTGTACCACTAATATCCTTCCATACATTTCTTTCTGCTCAAAGCAGCTGGAGTGGATTCTGTTATTTGCAACTAAGAACTCTGATGATTCCTCCTTATGAGGTCTTCTTTCACTATCTATTTTATTTATTTATTTATTTATTTATTTGTAGACACTGGGTCTCACTATTGCCCAGGCTGGTCTCCAACTCCTGGCCTCAAGTGATTCTCCCGCCTCAGCCTCCCAAGTAGCTGGGATTACAGGCGTTAGCCACCATGCCCCGCCTATCTTTTAAAATCTTTATTAAATGAATAAATGACTCAGTCTCTAATAGGTAGGAGCCCTAATTTATAGTGGGTCTCATAGCAAAATATAGATACATGGTTAGATACTTTTTCATTCCCATTGTGCAAATCCCCAACACTTAAACAAGAAAAGGGCAGACGGCAAGTCACAGACTTAAAGTAATTGCAACTCATTTCTCTCAATTGTGGACTCTCAGACAGACTGTTGCCATTGAAAAGCATATTTTGAACATAGCCAGCTACTGCATTGAGCAGATGGGAATATGTCTGTTCATGACAAGAGAAGCTCTGTCCCCACCACAGAATTCAATTACTCTCTCCATCCTGGTTTTCCCACTAACACTTCAGCTGCTTTCAACGTTCCAGAGTTTGTGATTATTTCTATTTCTGAGGAAGAAAATGAAATCTCTTAGCTGGGTTCCTGAAATAACTGTCAGAAGATTTTATGTATTTCAGTACAAAGAAAATACATTTGTCTCAGGCTGTTGTGACAGGCAGTACCAAAACATTAAAAAACATATTGATCTTGGTCTGAGTGACAGCTATCCTTCTGCAGCAGCTGCTGCATCAGTACTTTGTGGGAGCTGACACCGATGGAGCACCATTATGTGCCACGCACCGGGCCGAGAGTTTGCAGGTGTGATCTCGCTCACGAAGTCCAGAAGGCTGAGTGCCTTCTCTGTGCTAGGTCTATTCTAGGAGATAGAACAGCCATAAAGGAAAAAGAGATCCTGTTCTAAAACGAATTCTAAACCATACATAAGCCCCACAGGAAAAAGAGTAGATCGTGGTAATCCCTGAACAGGGAATGAAAGTAGGTGACGTGATGACAGAGTGGCTGGGGGGTCAGGGGCAGCACCTCTGGGGCAACAGCAGTGAAACTAGGGAGCAGGAGGAGCCAGCCACGTTCCAGGCACAGGTGACAGCTAGTGCAAAGGCCCAGCTGAGTGTGGGCCTGGAGTGTCCGAGAGGCGGAAGGAAGTCCGGTGGCTGGTGTCTGGTTCTGGGCAGGGAATGGGTGCGAGGTGGCTGGACAGAGAGGCAGTGGCTGGGTTCTGCAGGGCATGGCAAGCCAGGTGAGCGAGCTGGGATTTTATTCCAAGTGCACTATTGCTCTGCCAAGTGCACCAAGCTATTTGACGTTTTAAGCAAGGGATGACCCCATGTGATGTACACCTGTAAAAGGTCACTCTAGTCACTGTGTGGAGACTGGGCTTGGGCCACTGCAGTCAGACAGGCAAGATGTGACACTGGGGGCTGGGAGGGTCAAGTGCTGCTAAGTCTGAGGTCCTCTAGGTGAGGCCGAGAGGGTCAGTGGGCAGACCAAGGTGAATTCTGAGCGAAGCCGGGGCAGAGGGAGACTTGGGTGTCACTGGCACACAGGTGACATTTGAAGCCACCAGATCAGATGAGGCGGCCTAGGGAGAATACGCAGACAGAGTGGGCAGGGGCCCTGGGACAGAGTGGACCTACAGGACAGGGAGTGGGCAAAGAGACTGAGAAGGGGCGGCCAGTAAGGAAGGAAGACACTGGCAAGAGTCTGGCAACGTAGAGGCTGAGAGAACAAAGCGTTTCAAGAAGGTGGGAGTGGCCAACCACAGAAGAAACAGATTAAAGTGACTGCAAAGCCCGACCACCTAGGGTCCGGTTGCTGCTGGCAAGAGCAGTGCAGCGACCAGCCATGAGCAGGAGCCCGACTGGCATCACTGAGTGCATGTGCAAGGCGAGGAAAGGACACCTGGGGGCGGACGTGTCTTTCGACAAGTTCTGGCGTGACAGGGAGCAGAAATAGGGATGTGCAGTCAAAGGAGGTTTTCTTTTTAAAGATAAGAGGTGCCAGAGCACCTTTGTTCAATGGTGGAAATGGTCCCACAAAGCAGGAGAGAGTGACCGTGCCAGAGAGGGCGCTAACAGCCAGAGGGGCGAGGTCCAGAGCGCAGGTCGGGGCTGGCCACAGAGGGAGGCCGGGCCCTCCACAGGCACGGAGGAGCGGCAGATGGGGCAGGCTGGGAGGTGCCAGGGTAGAAGGCGAGTGGGGCAAGGCAGGCCACAGTGGAAGAAGTCTGAAAGGCGGGCAGAGTGTAAGTGTTTTGAGGAGGGGGATCCTGGACCCGCTTGGGGAGTGTGGGGGCACAGCCGGGCAGTGCTGAGGGCTGAGAGTTGGGGCCCCAGTCTCCACAATGTCAGCAAGAAGGCACCATGGTTAGTGTACTCATTTTACACCTGTTGAAACAAAATCTTAGGGAAGTTAAGTAACTTGCCCAAGGCCACACAGCTAGAATCTGAACCCAGGAGGACTGGCTCTTAACCAGAGATCTTCAAACTCTGTGGAGACATGGAGACCTTCCAAGGACTAAGGGGACTGACAGTTCTAAGAGCATGCATTTCCAGATCCTCAAATTTCCTTTCAAACTGTTTTCTAAAATGACTGCCCTGAGAATGTGCAGGTTGGTGTTCACAACAGCCCTTATCCCACTTTACAGAAGAAGGGCACACCTTTCACCCGTCCCAAACCTCCCTTTGGTGAATGTTCCAGGGCGGAAACACTCTCAACCCTGCACCAAACAAAGGAGGAAAGCTGTTCTAACAATGAATCCAGCCTCATATGCTATTTGTTAAAAATGAACATGGCATTAGGAATGGAGCATTTAGGAATTAGAAGTGGGAATGTTGTCCTAGAGTTTAAAGATTAGTGGGGAGACAGCCATGATCAGAATAATGAATAATTATAATAATGAATAATTGCGTGAGTGCTTTGAAGGAAAGGGATATCAGCACATATAGTAAGGAACCTCATCCAGCCCAGAGAGTCAGAAAGCTAACCCCAAGGATGAGAGTGAAGGGGATCAGAACATGCCGCCCCAAAATATACGACTTTGGCATAAGAGTTATTTTAAGCTGAAGGCAATTGAGAAAGAGCAGATGGAGGAAAAGCTCTCTACTCTCCCCCTTTCCATCTAAAAGCAAGGCATAAATTTTCCTTTGTGAAGGTGTCTCCCCTTGCTCTCTCCTGTACCAGGAAGAAGAAATAACTCATCACTGGAGACCCACCAACTGGAATCTGCATAAACATACCTGATTGAAATAATGCTTATCTTCCTTTAGCTTCCCCATATATTTACCTTTCCACAATTTACCATCCCTAGAAGTCCAAACACCTTTTTCTTTGTCTTGTTGAGTCTCTACAATTTATTGCTCTTTGTTAAAATGGTATATAAGCTATCATGCCTAACTGCTTCCTTGGGGTTTTCACTTCTTTCCTATGAAGTCCCCTGTGTCACGTAAAAATATTAACATCAAATAAAATTTGAATGCCTTTCTCTTGTTAATGTCTTTCAGCAGTTTAATTTGTAGGGCTCCATACACTTTGCCTAAGAGGGTAGAGGAAAGATTTTTCCTCCCCTACAAGAGACTGAATTGAGATGGAAGGATGAGCATGTATCTCCCAGACCAGGGGTTGGAAAACTTTTTATGCAAAGAGCCAAGTCAGCTCTGTAGGTCATAAAATCTCTATTGCAAGCACTCAACTCTGCTGTTTCAGTGCAAAGGTAGTTGTAGACAATAGGAAATGGCTGTGTGCCAATAAAGCTTTATTTATAAAAACAGGTATTGAAAGGCCTGATTGATAGTTTGCCAAATCCTTTCTGGACTTTTATTTTTTTCCAGGTCTTCAGAAAAAGCAGGCCATTATTTGCGGCATTTGGTTAATTGCATGCTACCAATGTGACCTCTTTGGAGTTAAAATTGGAAGGAAATGCTGACGATGACAATGGCAGCGGTGATGGGAGCTTACCTGGAACAAGAGGAACAGCAGGTACAGAGGCCACTTTTAGGGTGGGAGTGTGGTGTTTACAAGGAACTGAAAGAGGGCCCCTGTGGCAGGAGCCCCGAGAGTTCAGGAGGGTAGAGAAGGGTTTGGTCCAGAAGAGGCAGGGCCCTGCAGGTCAGTCTACCCCAAAGACGAGGGGAAGCCTTCTGGGGTGTGGCAAGTGTCTCTTATTTGGGCTGGAAGGAGGGTTTTTAGGGTGGGGGCATAGGAGAGGGTGAGGTGGTGAGGGGATGATGTAATTAGCTTTGTATTTTGGAGAGACTGCCTGTGGGGAAGCTGACAGCCTGCTGAGACCAGCGAGGAGCCTACTGCAGTAACATGGGAGCTCAGACTAGGCTGGTGGGAGTACAAGAGCAAGAGTGGATGGTGCTGGGGGTACGTCAATGGAAACATCAGTAGGGCAGAGGAGGAAGTGGGTGTCAGGGAAGACTGCCAGATTTCAAGCTTGCCATCAGAATTAATGGATAAAAAAAGATATAAAAGCATCTCATGCTGCAGCTTCCACTTAGAGGCTGGTTTCTTCCCTGTCTCCTCCCAATCTCTGCATTTCTGGGGTTGCCCGCAGTGCTCCACTCACCCACAGGTAGTCTGGGGGCCTCGCAGGGCCCCTTGCTGAGAAGATGGGGTAGAACGGGGGAAGGGGGAACAGAGATGTGCCGCCAACAGGAGGCCACCTGTGTTCCGAAAGAACCCAGGGTTTCCGAAGCTTATGGGGCTCCAGGGGATCCGGGTCTATGCTGCTCCACTTACCTGAGAGTGGTTGGACTTCTTGCTCTCCTCTGGCTTCTGGCTGGAGGATTTCTTATAAGAGAAGGAAAAAAACTCTCTTCCTAAGGAAGGGAAAAGCTGTTCTTTAGTTCCTTCTTGCCACAGGGCAATGAAGCTTGCAGATCAGGAGCTTTGGGACAGCCCCTCCCTGGAGGCCAGTGACAGCCACTCAGGCAAACTCTAGCCTCTTTGTTGACTCCACCTGCTGGACAAGTTACCTCTCTGATCCTGTTCAAGAGTGTGAATACTGTCTACCTCCAGGGCTGTTGAGCCAATTAAAGGCAATAATGTATGTGGAGCCCTGTGCACAGGGCCAGCACTAAACCTACAGGAAAAAAAGTATTGGCTTCAAAAGAAAAAACAACTCAGAACTCTGCAAAACAGAAATGAATAAATGTTGGGTTAAATGCTTAAAAAAGAAACTATCAAGCTCATAAACTGTTAAGTTTAATATTTGTTAAAAGGTCACTAAATTTGAAGACAATTTATGGGTTAGATTTTTTTTCACTTTGAAAAAACTCCCTTTAGTGTGCATGGTGACTACTGGGAAATCATATCTATTAGAGGGTCAATAAATGGAAATGCTTAAAAGGTAACAGATAAAAGTATCTGGCCTCGAGTAAGTGGTGGCTTTTGTAATTTCCAGCCAATAACTGCACCATAACCCTGCTCCAGGGGTTGCCAGGTGTTCTCTTCCTCTGTGCCCTAGACCAGGGTTTCTCAAACTGCAATGTGCTTCTAGATCTCTGGGGATCTTGGCAAACCGCAGAATCTGATTCACTTGATCAGAGGCTGATCACAGAGAGAGGCTGATGCTGTTGGTCCTCGGACCAACACATTCTTCAGATCTCTGCTTAAATGCCACCTACTGACCTCCTCAGGGCTGGACTGGGTACCCCTCCCCTGCGGCCCCACCCTCCACCCCCATCACAGCACCCAATCCCCTGCACTATAACTGTGTGGCCTAGATCACAAGGAGGGACTGTGCTTCCTCCGTGGCCGTGTTCCCAGCATTGAGCACAGCGCCTGGCACCCCGTGCTCATTACATGTCTGTTGAGTGAAATAGAAATGTTGACCTTGGGCAGGTTGCTTCTCTGAACTTTAGTTTCCTCATCTGTGAAGGAGATTTAGTGTGTGCTTCAGCAGGTTGTCCTGAGGATGAAATAAAATGGGTAGAGAACCCAGCACAGTGTCTGGCACATAGTAGACACCCATTAACTGGCACCTACTACTTGAATATAAAATTCTATACCCTGTATCCCAACACTTATGCATGTGGACTCTGTCTGCAGCTCATAAGCATTAACACTTTGGTCATTTTGGTGGCTGGTTTGCAGGTACCTGAGAGAGAACCTGGCCTGAGGACGTCAATGCTGAGGCCCTCTCCTGCCTCAATTAGATGATGGTCGGCAGGGGGCAAAAGGTGCAGGGGGCCATAGCTGGTATCTTACCCCTTAACATTTTTTCCTTCTGTAGCAATAATTCTTCTCTCCGGAATCTCTCTGGATCCAGTTCCGAGTAGTCCCAACTCTCATAGATCTGTAGCCGAGGACATGTACCTAAGAGGGAGTCGAGAGTGAGAATGGACATGTCTGTGAAAGAGAACAGGAAGACAGAGGCCTTGGGACCCTCTGCTGCTCTAGGGAGGCTGGGCCTCCAGCATCAGCCCTGCCCTATGCTGGCCTCGTGGCCTTGGGAGAGGCTCTTCTTCTCCAAAGGGTTTTGGTTTCTTCATTGGAAAATGCGGATGATGAGGCCTGCCCTGCCTCACTGATGGCTGGGTGTGAGGGTCAGATCATCCCAGGGCACGTGAGTCAGTGATGTGCTATGCAAATGTGAAGGCGTTGCAGTAATTTGTTTCCCTCTCTCTCTCCTGGTTCCTGTGGAAGCATGAGCTCCCTGAGGGCAGGGGCTGGGTCTTATTCATCTTTGTATCTCCGGGACTTACCACTGGACCTGGCACATAATTATAATAATACAGTAAGTGCTTAGAAAATGTTTGTTCAACATATCATTACACTTAGCTAAATGCTAGAAATGGGTTACTGTACATATCTGATGGTGATGCTTCCGCGGATTACTTGAGACATTTGAGCCACTATGCAAAGCTGCTGGCTCCACTGGACACGGTAGGTGGGTAGGAAGATTATTACTGGGGAGGAGTTGGGGGAAGGAGGTGTAGCCTTGGATGAAAGGGGGAATAGGAAGGTGGAACAGCAAGAAGAGAAGAGAGTCAGAAAATGGGGGGCAGGATGGCATGATGGTCAAAGCCCAGCTTTGGAATGGCATAGGTTCTGAATGCCTGCTCCCTCATTTGTTGGCTGTTGGACTTCTTTGTTCCTACATGTTAGGAGGATTAAAAGGGTGTGTAGAAAATAGGTAGCACAGCAGGCCTGAGACTGTTACCCTTAGAAAGGTAAGGGTAAGTCTGCTTGCAAGGTTGGCCCTTGGCTGCACCTGGAACCTTGTCTAGTAAGTTTCTTACATTGACACAAAACTTTCTCTAACTGATACAGAGTGGCTCGTTGTGCCTACACGGTATGAACAGTAGAGCTTATGCTGAATACCTGCTTTCCTGGAACTGTGTCACATGATAGAGGTGTCTACGTGACTGCCCCAGTGAAAACTTCGGGCACTGGGGCTCTGATGGGCTTCCCCGGGTAGAGGCATCACACAGACGCGGCTACATTTTCATTGCAGGGGATGAGTGGGCTCTGCGTGACACCGTGGGAGGGAGAGCATACGGAAGCCTGCACATGGATTGCTCCACACCCTGTCTGACTCTTCCCTTGTGACCCAGCTGTGTATGCTTACTACGCCACTATAACAAATGGTAGCCATGACTACAAGTATATGCAGAGACCTGTGAGTTCTTCTAGCCAATCTCCTAATGTGAGGGTGGTCTTGGGAGCCCCAGCATGATAGGAAATGGAAAGAGTGCTTACTTAGCACAGTACCTAGTACACAGGAACCTCTCAATAAATAGTAGCTTTCAATGACCTTAGAAAATGTCTAGGTTGACATAGGGGAAGTGAGGAAGGGGACTAAAAGGTAGTTGAAAAAGCAAGCATCAAGTTGGCACTGTGCGTGCTGGGTGGGGCACAGTTGCCACCTGGGGTCACATGGAGGGTGGAAGGGTGGGAGTATCCAACCAGCATACTGCCTTTGGTTCCCTGAGTCCTGGGTCCATCATGGTCAGTGTTGAAACTTTGTTTTTTTTTTTTTCTTTAACTTTTTAAATTCTTTTTTGTCTTTAAAAATTTGTTGCTGGCTAATTTTTTTCCATTTTTAGTAGAGACAGGGTCTAACTCTTGCTCAGGCTGGTCTTGAACTCCTGACCCTGTCCCAAAACACGTTTAATATTAATTCATGGAGCGACAACCTTGAGTGATCCTCCCACCTCAGCCTCCCAGAGTGCTAGGATTATAGGCATGAGCCACTGCGCCCGGCCCAGTGCTGAAACTTTGGTATCTCCTTAGGAGAAGGCTCCTTGCTCTCTGCAGATGTAGTTGAGCATAAAAAGTGGATTAGGAAGGGATGGCTCAGCTATTTTGAGGAAGCAGAAAAATTCATGCTCCTTGGGGCTCTAACCACACACCTCCCTTTCTTTAATGTTAAGGAGAGAAAAGGAAGACTGCCTTGATGAAGGAGTGCTATGGCAAACAATTACATACCTAGGCTCTAGTGGAAAATGCTTTTCCAGAATTGCTTTCCCCAGTAGAAAAGAGTCCCCTCTCACCTGCAATCCACAGGCTTATGGTGTTGCAGATGTCAGACTTGAATTCATGCGTGTTGAACCAGGACTGTGGGAAGCAGCAGCAGAAGCTGGTGTACAGGCCTTTGCTCAGAAGTGACGGCAGCCTCTGCGGGGCAAGCAGAGCCCGGGCAACATTCTCAGCACTTCCACACCCAGACTTCAGAAAGGATCTGCGATAAAATGCTTTACCCAACACCATGCTGCCTGCCTGTTCATAAGGGAGCAATTTCTGTCTTTGGCGGCCTCTGCATCTGGGGGTGCTCCCTACCTGAGGATCACTCCTAAGCATCCTGCCATGCTTGGCTAGCAACCTTCTCCCTCTCCCGCCACCTCTTCATGTGGTCTGTCGCTCAGCCTCTTCTGCAACTTGGCCCAAGAATAGCCAAGAAGATAACAAGATATATTTGACCTCCTCATATTATTATCTCTCAAAGGCAATAGTAAATACTACTTACTGGGTGGTTTCTTTCTTTTAATGCACAGGTGTTATTGTTGTTGCTGCTTAACTATGGTTGAGCTCAAATTATACATTTATATCTGGCTTTATCCACTTAACGTCATAATATAAGCACTTCTCCGAGGTATTATAAAGTCTTTGGGATTTTTTTCTAATAGTGACCTTCATAATATTGCACTGAGTGGGCATATCAAAATTTACTTAAACATCTCCCTTCACTGGATATTGTTTCCAAGATTTTACATTACAAATTATGCTGAATAGTTATTTTTATTTATTAAAGTATCTCAGTGCCTGGCACATAGGAGGCAGTCAAAAATTTGTTGAATGAATAAATGCATAAATGAAAGCAGTTCCTCCTGTACGTTAGATCATGTCTTCCAGAGGACTGTATAATAATAGTAATTATAGCAGCTATGATATACTGGGGGCTTAGCATGTGCTGGGCAATATGTCAGATACCTTACAAACATCCTCTCATTAATTCTTAGAACAACTCAAAGAGGTATTATTATCCCCATTTTATGGATGATGAAACTGAGGCACAAAAATCCTACGTGACTTATTTAGGGGTCATTAAACTAATATAAATGCCTTTTGGCATGATTATATTAATTCACTTCCCACCCAGATTGTCAGAAGGCCATTCCTCTTCACACTGAACCACCTTGGGAATTAAACTTTTTTGGTTTTTTTAAAGACAGGGTCTTGCTATGTCGCCCAGTCTGGACACGGGCTCAAGTGATCCTCCCACCTCAACCTCCCAAGTAGCTGGGACTATAGGCGCGCGCACCACTGTGCCTAGATATACTTTTTAATCTATGCGATCTGACAGGTGAAGGGGAGTATCAAATTATTATTGTTTCAATTTGCATTTTTGATTATTGTTAAGGGTGAACTTTTTTTCCAGTTATACTTCTTCCTTGGTGAATTTCTAGTTTATGTAATTTGTCCATGAGTCTTTGGACTGTTTAATTTTTTCTTATTGATTTCTAAGAGTTCTTTATGTTGTGTGACATATATGCTATCAATACTTTTGTATAGTTTGTCATTTGCCTCTTAACTTTGTCTATAGTAATTTTTTTTTAAATTTACATAGTTTATTGGTCTTTTCCCTTATGGTTATTTCCTCTGGGTCACATTCAGAAAGTCCTTCCTCACCCAACTCTTGTATATTCACTTATATTTTCTTCTTTTAAGAAGCAATCTTTTTAATCTTGTTTTAAGCAATCTTTTAAGTACACACACACACACACACACATATATATACACACACGTATATATATAAAAAGTATACA